CAGCCCTGGGCAAAACTCTCGATACGCATAATTTGGGCTCGTGCCTAGACGAGCATAAGAAAGCTGTGCGACAAGGGGAGGCTTTCATCCAATGTGAAGCATGTTCCACTCTATCCGAGAACATGATCATGCAGGGGCTTCTTGTTGACAGGCTTTTGGTATTTTGCGAAAAGATTGTAGTGGCATATCTCACCGCAGTCAACCATCGGCTCTCATTTGGGCAAAAAGATCTGTTCTTTGGCGACTTCAAAGTTGACGATGATACGGAATGGGACCTGCTATTTGGAGGCCTCATCGCCGTCCAACTCCAGTCCTTGACCCTTCTAGTTGAAAGAATCAGAGGTGCGGAGGGAGGTTTGTGGTCAAAAGTTGCAAGCTCAAAACTAAAAATTCAGCATTTGCGTCAACTGCTGAGTATGCGCTTTCCAAGCGGGATTCTTAGTGGTTGAAATTCGTACGAATGCAAGATCACGGCTGTGAGAAGACAAGAAAGCCGAGGGCTCACAGATTTACCAAGTATCTCATGGACCGCACACGACGCTGTCTGCTCTTGGGCTTGCACATAGGCCATTCGCAGAAGCTAATTATAGCTAAGCAGTCTCTGTTGCGAAATGCGCGATGATAACAACTTGTATCAAATTAGACCGTCTCGAGTGCAGGATGGGGAATAGATCATGAAAGCGCGCTGTTTCTCTATATATGAAATAGATAAAGAAGTGTTCGTTTATATACTACCTATGTTAACTCTACTACTTGCACCACTTACACTAACATAAGCCCTTCTAGACTAATGCAGGTAGGCTTCCCAACTGACTGGTACCGCTTATACCGAAATAGGTTAGTGCCAAGACCGCCAACTTTTTACTGTAAGTTGTAAGTAGACTCAAGCAAAAACCTCCATAAATCACGGGACGTCAATCTTGCCCACCTTAGGACCCGGGCATCGGAGTTACTTTGCGGCGCTCCCGTCATATGTTCCCTTCATGCGCCCATGTTGTTGAAGGCATCAGAGCGCGTCTCACAGGGTGGAGATATCGGTCGAGTTGTTGTCAATACGCCGCTACTATCAGGACCTGGGCAGAAAAGAGAGAGGGTGCATTGCAAGTATGCACATCCCTGACACGCAACGCAAACAATATCTAGGTAAATGCATCACAATCCCCTCTTGGGTTAGACTGGTGCGTCAGGTGATACACACGGAAGAAAACGAAGCCGCAGCACAACAGCAATATGAAGTTCCAAGGTTGTTTTGTCGTTGGCAGCAGTCACCCAGGCAAGTGGGGCAGGACAGGTACCCAGCAACAGTTATATAATGATTTCATAGGTTTTAGGTTCTACTTTCTAACGGCCTGCTTACCTTTCCCCTCCTACTCTCCTTCCGAACATTTCAGTCCTCAGGATCCCTCTATAGTTCTAGACTCACCGAGTAAATCACATAGTACTATCTGTCGACTCATTCAGCGTAAATCATGCGTGAAATTGTCAGTTGCTTCTCCTTATTCCGAATCCGATTGTCTGTTTTCACCTGAGCTAATATTAATTCTCACTGAATAGGTGCACCTTCAAATTGGCGAATGCGTGAGTACCTCGCAACGTTCTCAGCCCAAGTTCGAGGCATCTGACGGTTTATACACTTGTGCAGGGCAATTAGATCGGTGCTGCCTTCTGGCAGAATATCTCGGGCGAGCACGGCCTAAATGGTGATGGCACGTGAGCAGTCCCGGGCCATCTATCTAAACGTAGGCCTTGAGCGCTCACGTTATCACACATAAAGATACGAAGGCACCTCCGATCTACAATTGGAGCGTATGAGTGTCTATTTCAATGAGGTAAGATCTTTGCTTATTTGGAGGCTGCCGAACTGGCCGACCAAGTACTCGATGTTGTTCGCCGGGAGACTGAAGGTTGTGACTGTCTCCAAGGTTTTCAGATCACACACTCCTTGGGCGGTGGTACTGGCTCCGGTATGGGGACACTGCTTGTCTCTAAGATTCGAGAAGGTATATTACACTAGACAACCCGTTTACATTTCCCTTTCGGCGCAATTGTCAATCTGCAAGGGCTTTTAGTTAACATATCGTCGTTAAAGAATACCCTGACCGCATGATGGCTACTTTTAGCGTGTTTGGGTCGATGAATATTATGACAGAACCGTACAACGCCACACTGTCGGTCCATAAGTTAGTTGAGAACTCGGATGAAACCTTCTGCATCAACAACGATGCTCTGTACGGCATTTGCCTACGCACTCTGGAGCTGTCTAATCCTTCATACGGCGATCTGAATTACCTTGTATCTGCTGTTATGTCTGGCGTTTCGACTTCCCTCCGCTTTCCCGGGCAGCTAAATTCCGACTTGCGTAAGCTAGCCGTAAACATGGTATGCTATCATATTCTCCGTATTTATCTAGATTTCTTAGCTAGGTCTTTTAGCTCGACAACATGAAGCTTACTGTTGACGAATAGGTGCCGTTTCCTCGCTTGCATTTCTTTATGGTCGGCTTCGCCCCCTTGACCAGCCGCAGCGCCAGCTCATCTCGCCCCTTTACCGTACCAGAGCTTGCACAACAAATCTTTGATCCTAAGAATATGATAACTGGTTCCGACTTCCGTAACGGACGGTACCTGACATGCTCCGCGATTTTCCGAGGCAAAGTCGCAATGAAAGAGGTCGAAGAACAAATGCGGAACATCCAGAATCGTAATGTAGAATAGATCCCCAACAATGTGCAGACAGCCTTTTGCTCTATTCCACCACGTGGACTAAAGATGTCATCAACGTTCGTCGGAAACTCAACGGCTATTCAATATATCTTCAAACGTGTTGGCGCTCCTTTCTCCGTTATGTTCCGCCGGAAAGCCTTCCTGAATTGGTACACCTGCGAAGGCATGGATGAAATGGAGTTCACCGAGGCCGAATCCAACATGAATGATCTCATATCGGAATATCAGCAATATCAGGATGCATGACGACGAGGAGGAGTATCTGGAAGAGGATTTCGAACAGGTCGAATAAGAGGCAAAACTCCTCAACCTTACAGTTCATAGACTCTCGTTACCAAACCCCATAGCTTGCCACGGAGGAATACTAGGTTTCAACCGATTGCGTACTAGATAGAATATAGCGAGGCAATATTCTTCTAAGTCTCGTATTGACATCCTCCAACCAACCTAAACAGCAGTAATCTCGATGGCTTCATCCACAATGCTTTCAGTAACAGTGCAGCAGGGGCAATAGCCAGTTGGTAGATCAAAAGTTCGTACCTCACGGCCATCCTTTTTAAGTCTTTCGACGAAGTTCTTCTAGTAGTTAAAGGGCACGGTCATATCGGCAGTTGTGTAAAGAAGATATGCTAGAATCCCGCGTCATGCAGCATGTTTATTTTCCTGATACATACCTGTTGACATCCGCATTATCAGGCTTGGGGCCGACAACAAGCTTCTTTAAGTTGCGGTGTATGCAGATACCATCCTTATCAATGTCAAAAGCAACCGTTATAAGGTGTTTCCAAATTTCTTCACTTAGTCCATCATGGCAGTTCCCTCCGTCATAGCTTATGGAAAAATAGAAATTGTAGCCTTCATTCGATTTGTTTTGAATATAGAATAGATGAATTCTTTGAAAGAGAGAGTTGACCTATTTTGGAATAAAAATTACGTAACAGGATAAAACATTGCACTAGCTGTCAACAAACAAACCTCAGCCTGCCTATTGGGACCATACTGAATTGGCCCGGTTGACTGATATCTAGACCTGAGCCCTAGCCGAGGAGGTAAGCTAAACTATACGCTTCTAGGGCTAGGGTGGATCACTCGGATGTATAGGGAACTTCTTTGTTGGATAGAACAGAACGCAATACATTAACAAAAAATCGACGCAATCGCTCAGTGTGTTGAAAGGAGGAGGGTAATGAAGACCAGATACCCCTTAAAAATCTCCAGCCTATGTAAGCCCCCCCTGCATTACTCTTATTGGTTAATTCTTCACCTGGAGTCATCTCTCCAGCGCCACTATAGTTAATTAAAGGGAGAAGGAGGATACTAGCTTAGAAATTACTGGCAGTTACACCGAGGTGCAAGTAAGTCCAATACTGTACCCTATTCATGAGAACGCCCATTGTATTCAGTGACCCCATTGAGCGTTCTAATGTATTTTTCTTGTAACCGACGCCTCTCCTGTCCTGGTTGATTATCGCCTCAAGAAAGGCTGACAAGTCTTTTATGGAGAAATTATGTATATCCTATGCTGCAATCTGTTGACCATAGATTCGTTTAGATGAAGTGTGAGAGTCAAGACCAACGGAGCTAAGGATCTGCGGAGTTGCGGGTAGTTCCGTTGTACTATACAATACCTTATGAAGGAGATTCCGTCGAAGCAACAAGGCCTCGGAATGCGGACTTGAGGGTGCTGGCGGATGACAAGGGCCGAATCCGGAGAGCCGTTCTTTAAACCCTTCTCATGGATGAGTGAGCATGAATTCGAAGGGTAATGGAGTACGTATACTAGATGACGCATAAGATAAACAGAAGATGGGAAAGACGGGAAAGACTCAAAATTCTCTACATGTACTTTGTTAAATTGTACGGGAATCGGCTTCTCTGAGAGTTGGTATGTTCCTCGCGAGCATCCGGCGTCAGGCGATTTTCTTACATGTCTCTATCTTCTTTCGTCGAAGTTGACCTCGACTATGTAATCTCATTTAGGCTGCTACTGTACTCTATACTACGTAGCATGAGACCCGCCCTATATCATGCACGTTTTACGAATTTGCTTACGGGCTGCCTCTTGTACTGCCACGTTCAATTGGAGCTAGCAGCCACGCCTGTTCCAAGTTAACATAGAAAGGCGTTTGCAGAGTGGAAGCAAAAGCCTGAATACTTTGCACTATTCTCTATCGGGAACGAAGTATCTACTCTTCCTCAGTTTTACTTACAACTGGACAAAAAAAGAAAAGGAATGTAGGCTGCTATTCCCAGTGAACTGGGAAGCATCAGGAATTGAGCCCGATGCGGGGGTCGAACCTAGGCAACGTTGTCAGAATTTTTGTCACTCATATCTTAGACATTGTACTCACCCGCAACCTTGAGATTAAGAGTCTCACGCTCTACCGATTGAGCTAACCGGGCGTTGTTGTGGATTTCCCGCTTGAAATTTCATTTGTTATGCTACTGATGAAGCTAACCGGTCGATTTAGGTTGTTGGTGGTTGTGCACCGGTGCCGAATATTCGCTTATTCTCCGACATGCTGGGATAAACGTGGATTGGATTCCGGATAGCCACCAATCATACCTGGGCCGGGCGGGCGGATGCTTTAGCGTGCTTAGGATTATATAATGAGAGCAGTGGTGAAAAGGAAAATGCAGTGGACCTGACGGGTAAGGAGCATCTCCTTTTAGTCAGGCTAGAGCTCCGGTATTTCAGGATCTGTGCCAAGCGTTGCTATGTTGTTTTATTTGATGCTAGTGTACGGCCTACTTCGTAGATGGCGATGGTGCTTATTACGTAACTCAAAATGGTCGTAGTCCCATTTGCTACTATGCGAATAAGCCGAGATCTCTCTGCCTACTATGTAGATATCCACAATGGGATGATTCAAAGTAACCCAAATGACACGCGCTAGGCTAGGCAACCCATGTACAGTCTTTCCATCGAGCTTCTGTTTTCGACAAAGATATCCATCAGCCATGTTTTGGAAACAATCAAGGGGCGAGCTTCCGCTGCGGTTTTTGAGCCTTAATAAAAAGATCGCGCGGTAATGCCGACGATCCGGGGGCGCCAAGAACAGGATCATGTCACACAACGAGGCTACAGTCGCTATTCAAAAGGAGCCAGCATCGCACGTCAAAGAGGCTGCTGACCAAATCAACAATCCAGCAACTCCCTCATCTTGGCGACAGCGTTTTCTCACCCGGAAAAAGATCATTATCATAGTCACCATGGTTGGCGTAGTCTCACTCGCACTCGGGCTCGGACTTGGCATCGGTCTGACACGGGCCTGCCCGGCTCCGAAGTCATCAACCTCAACCTCAACCTCAACCTCAACCCCGACCCCGACCACCTCTAGCAACGCCAACTTCATCCAGCCGACGGTCGGCACAACCTGGGACTACCCTCTGGGCTTTTCCCTGACGACTGCCAACGCCAATAAGACCACCATCTTCTACCCCGTGGACCTCGAGAACACCTCGGCGGATACTATCAAGGGACTGAAGAGCGCCGGGCACACCGTCATCTGCTATTTCAGCGCCGGAAGCGTAGAGGACTACCGCTCCGACGCGGACCAGTTCCCGGCATCAGCCGTCGGCAACGTGCTCGACGGCTGGCCGGACGAGAAATGGGTAGACCACCGCAACGCCAAGGTGCGCGAGATCATGGCGACACGCATCCAGAGCGCGTCGACCAAGGGCTGCGTGGGCGTCGACCCCGACAACGTCGACGGGTACACGAACAACTCGGGCTTCGACCTCACCGAGGACGACGCGGTTGACTACGTCAAGTACCTGGCCGACACGGCGCACGCGGCCGGGCTGGCGTACGGGCTGAAGAACGCCGGCGGACTCGTCGACCGCGTCGTTGACGACGCCCAGTGGGCCATCAACGAGCAGTGCGCCGAGTACACGGAATGCGCCGACTGGGCCCCCTTCGTGAAGGCCGGCAAGCCCGTCTTCCACGTCGAGTACACTGACGACGACGACGCGACTAGCGTCAGCGCCTCCAAGCTGGCCAAAGCGTGCGCGGCCGACGGCCAATCTGGCTTCTCGACTATTGTGAAACACATGACGCTCGATAACTGGATTGTTTACTGCTAGGCGTACTTGGTTGCGATGGCGGTGATATCGGTCTCACCTGTGCCTCCTATTCCCTGTCCTGTATATAACTTTACCTTGTAGCTACTTTGTGTCTCTTGTACATATTAAGATAAGCTTTCTTCAATCAGAAGCCCGGTTTCATGACGCTGCGTTGCCGTCAATACGTGCTATGATTAGTTCTCGCTACAGTACCTTAATTACTAGCCCCGGTCGGTCTACGAATTCAAGTCATTGTCTGATCTCGGAGTCTGTGACAATATCTAATTCTGAAAAGGTCCGAGGTTCGCGATCTTGGAGCCCTTCGGGTGCCTAGAATAAAGAGCTGCAGGTGACCGAGAATGGCTGAAATGCTTTCGACTTCAACCTTGGATAGAGCGACATCTCTACTCCGTAGGCGCATGCCGAGTCTTGTTGGTGACTTGTGCTATCTGGAGCCTGGGAGATATCTGCTCCTGTTGCAACGAGACTAACGACGCTAGCTGGCACGCTCAAAGAGTCAGCCATGGTCACCATAAGTTCTTCGTGATATTATCTAGGTAGGGCGTAGTAAATATTGCAAGCACCGAATCAGTCGGTTTATCCAAGGTTGTGAGTCGATTATGGTAGAGACGGGAACTTGCATGAGGGTTTTGATACACGCACCACCAGAGATGAATTTACCAGTTCAGCCCCAGCTGATGCTGACTCTACGATCATTAGCCACTGTCTCAAGCCACATGATTACCTTACAGGTACCTACCTACATAGTACTTAGGTACCTACTGTAAGTACAACGATAAGCGTTGCATGATGCTTATCGATATGTAGCTTCAGTCGATAAGCCTTCGCCGAGTTTCTGCCGAGCGTAAAACCCGCCTGGGCCGGTACGTACCTTATCGGCGAAGGTGGAGTCCCGAGCTTCAGAGCTTGGATCCAAATTTTTCAATTCGGGGCTTCACACTTCAACCTCGCCCGTTTTGTATTGCAACAGCGAGAGACTGATCCCACCGTGTCTTGGGCGCATCACCGACCTATTGCCGCTGATAAGAGTCGCCGACGCCGTTGCAACACCAATTGCGCCTATTTCGACTCGAACGGCCACACTTCTGCACACCGATATCCCCATCGACCTGTCGCAGTTGACCCCGGTTGCAATCATGCCGCACATCGACTATCTTCTGTACGAGGTTAGCATTTTGCAGTCTCTTGTTCCTTGCTTTTTGCCACTCGTAGACACAAACAAGAAGGAATTCTGCCGTGGCGGAACCTGGCTGATCCCTGACCTCCGAATTAGTCTGCGACCGGATACGCCCTCTTCAAAGTGGTCCACCAGCAAGATGACATCGCGCTGCGGATGGACGAGGTGAAGAAGGCTGCCGAGGACCTGTCCAAGCTTGGCAAAATGCTGAGTCTCACCTCCTATGCCGTCTGGAGATCCGCCGCCGAGGCGCTCGAGAACATCCATTCCATCTCGGAAGGGTTGATGACCGATTATTTGAAGTCCACCATCGAGCTCAACATCCCCGCCTCGAAGAAGAGCAAGGTCGTCCTGGGTGTCGCCGATAAGAATCTCGCGGGAAATATCAAGGATGCCTTTGCTGGCATTTCGGTTGAAACGAGCGACACGTCCGAGGCCGTGGCGTATTTACTCCGTGGCATTCGTTTACACGCGTCCAAGCTATTCAAAGACTTGAAGGAGGGAGATGAGGAGAAGGCCCAATTAGGTCTCGGCCACGCTTGTGGGTGTTCCTACGCCTCGGCTCTGCCAATCGCATTTTACTAACATTGCCTGCTAGACTCTCGTAGCAAGGTTAAGTTCAACGTGCACCGTAATGATAATCATAGTAAGTTGCCTATGATGTTTCCTCCTTCACTACTAGAAGCCCGAAATGAGCTCGGCGTCTACCCCAAACACCAATAACTGACAACTTGTGTCTAGTTATCCGCTCTATCGCGACGTATGTGTAATTCCGAAGATGCTCTCTAACTAGACGATCGTTAACTTTGGATCGGATAGCTTGGATAACTTGGATAAGGGTATCAATCTTTTCTCTCAGAAGCTTCGCGAGTGGTATAGCTGGCATTTCCCAGAATTGGTAAACAGCCTTGGCTCCTCTGCCACGACGTACACTGACCCCATATGCCGTAGTACGCGATTTGTTCCGATAATCTCACATATGCCAAGGTCGCGCGCTTTGTTGGGGATAAGAGTACATTAGGGGATGACAAGCTCCACGAGCTGGCTGGACTCGTAGGCGATGACGAGGAGAAGGCTGCTGAGATTATCCAGAAGGCGAAAATGTCCATGGGAAGAGAATTAAGCGAGGTCGACCTTGAAAATGTCCTCACGTTTGCCGAAAAGGTCCAAAGCTTGGCAGGTAAGACTTGCGTTCTAGTGATATTCTGCTCGTGGATACTGACCGTCTTTTCCAAAGAATACAGAAGAACCTTGTACTCCTACTTGACTGACAAGATGAGTACTGTGGCACCGAATCTGGCTACTCTGAGTTAGTAACCTCCAAATCTTTCATTTACATTTTAGAAGAGTCGGCTTCGCAGTCTAAGCTGTTGCCATAGATTCGACTGTTAATAATCACTGCTGACTCTTGCTGGAACAGTTGGCGACGTGGTTGCTGCACGTTTGATCCAGAAGGCCGGTTCCCTCACCAACCTATCGAAGTACCCTGCTTCAACCCTACAAATCCTAGGTGCGGAAAAAGCTCTGTTCAGGGCCCTTAAGACTAAGAGGTTAGTATTTGTGGCCCCCGACTTTTCTTTTTCGTGGTTTCTTGCGCGGGGCTTCCTAGTTAGAATTACTTCGCTCCCGCTACCTCTATCTGTTTCCTAGCCTTGGGCCCCCCATCCTAGATTCTAATTACCTGCTAACTTTAAATTTCTGTAGTAATACCCCCAAGGTTAGTCGCTAGAGTCGTTTATTCCCCCTCTTAGCATGTCTCGGAGACACAAACTGCCTCAACGGGCATATTCTGCTGTTGCAACCCCTGCAAGCTCCCGAAACCCCGGGCAATTCTTGCTATAAGTTGAAATTATTGACTCTAGTGTTATATATAGTATGGTCTCATTTTCCACAGCAGCTTCATTGGAAGAGCAGCGCAAAAGGACAAGGGTCGTGTGAGCAGATACCTTGCGAACAAGTGCAGTATTGCGTAAGTTGCCGCCCACGCTTTTGTCTTTGATTCCGAACCAAGGAGCGATTACTGATATCTTCTGATGCAGCGCCCGTATTGATAATTTCTCCGAGCAACCTTCGAAGAAATTTGGCGAGGTTCTGCGAGGCCAAGTTGAAGATAGGCTAGAATTTTACGCCACTGGCAAGA